CTATAACATAATATTGAATAAAGCACAAAGAGGGTTTTCTACTGAAAATTACACACTATCGTGTGAAAGAGCATTAATGGTCCAGACGTGCAGTGTGGAGCAGAGGAATTCTGCAAGGAGCTGGTTTGCCATCTTTTTACATTTAGGGGACTGTTCCCATGGAGGGGGCTTGACTCAGAAATTATAGGGAGGCACATTTCATCTCAGCCTTAAGAAGAACTTGCTGTCAACTACAGCTGCTCATCCATGCGTTGAGCTGTTTCAGTCTCAGCCCCTCCCTGTCACTCCAGATGTTCCTGCCATTGGTGGACAGCAGTCAGGGAAAGGGAGAGGCGCAACACCAGAGGAAAGAAGGAGTAGAACACCACTGGCATCCTGAAATCTCTTTGCTTTACATGAAATGAATAAATAAGCTTAAGTGACTTAACAGAGTGAGTTGTTTCCATGTATTTAATGTATTTCAAAATCTATTAACCTAGGGCCCGGGATTTAGCTCAGTGGTTCCACTACCTGCCTCACAAGCGCAAGGACCAGAGTTCGATCCCCAGGACAAAAATAAATAAATAAATAAGCGAGTAAGTAAATAAATACCTATTAACATAAAAGATGCTGAAAGAGGGAAAATACATTAAGTGGAGAAAAAAAGTTGTTTAATCTATTTGAAGAACACATATGTTTGGAAATAAATAAGACTGTTGTATAAGTCAGTGGACTCTGTAAAGAGATTTTAGATTTTGAAAAATATTACAGAAGCATTGACTAGTTTCTAAAAATTTTATACCTCTATTTGTGGGTAGGTCAAATGAAGGAATAGGAAAAGTAGAGTATTTAGACAAAAATGATAAATTTCCATGAAATGCCAAGTGCAATCCTAATAACTGAGGCTAATTATAAAGAGAGTAAGATGTTAAGATGATAGAATACTAATTCAAGTGAAAGAGATCTGCAAAGGCATACCACAACTGGCTGCTAATCTCCCTTTTGAATGTTTGAATACCATCTGTACTATACACCACATTTATGTATTAGAGTCTGAAAATACATGTTTAGTGTGTATATACCTAAGAATTTCAATGTTATAATAACAAACTGCAAAATTCCACTAGAGCATCTGCAGTAGGCTTTTGAGTACCCTATATTACCTAGTCTCTGTGTCATTTCTGTTTTAGTTTCCTAGGTCTTCATCAACCACTCCCTTTATATTTAAGGAATAATAAGAAGATCGAACAAAATAGTGCAGCATTATATTGAGGTGCCATAATTTACTTAATGAGGGGGGGCATAAGCAAGGTGTGGTGGCAAATGCCTGCAATCCCAGTACTCTGGGAAGCTGAGACAGGAGAATTGCGGATTTAAACTTGGCCAAGGCAACTTTGTGACTTAGACAAATCATGTCTCAAAATTAAAAAAAAAA